GCAGCCCAGCGCTCAACCACTGCACCACCAGGGGAGGCCCTGTATTATAGTTTTGTCTATTAATCTGATGATGACCTTCAGGGCTTTCTGATGATGACCTTCAGTGCAGAGTCCAACCTGTGATAACTGGTTGCATTTTACAGTCTTGTCTCTTTAGTCTACTTTAAGCCGAAATATTCCATAGCCTTTCTGTGTCTTTCATAACATGGGCATATTTGAATATAGAGCCCCCACCCCCACCTTGCTGGAAAGAATGCTGCTGATGTTGGTTTCCCTTTTGTTGCTTGTCAAGAGAATCCGGACTATATATTCTAGCCTTATCAACCCTTCCCTGATGCTGTAGCCTTCCAGGGTGCCACACAGAGAGTCATTCAGTTATCAGTCTGCCCCTTCCTAATTTTATCCACTGGTCAAAATGCAGTTCAGCTTCTCTGCTGTACAGCTACTACTTTAGCCTTTGCAATGAATAAACCCTCTAGGGGTCGGGGTGTATGTGTGGCGGGAAGTACTTTAAGTACCTGCAGGCATTAGGAATCCCCTTCCCCATTTAGTATATCCTATTGATAATTTTTGCTTGAACCAGTCTTTATTCTGCTGGTTTCAAAATGATGAGTTTCCAACTCTGGCAATCTGAAGGCTCTTTTTAAAAGCCTGTGATAGGTGATTCCTAGCAAGATTCATTTCTGACCTTGGGAGGCAATTCAGCACTGAAAAGGCTCCCCTGCTTGTCCATCTGCACACACTACCCGCCCCTGAAGTTTCCCTCCTCTCCAAGCACTAAATTTTCAAAAGGAGCAAGTATAAAGTGTTTTATGAGCATGTACTAGAAGAAACTAACTTAATTTGAGGGTGGGGACAGCCCATCCTGGGGAAATGAAATGACATGAAAGATGGGTCCAAATTATCTGGGCAAATAGTGGGTGAGCAGCAAATGCAGACTGTCAGACGCAGGATATAAGGGGACTGGGAGGCAGGTGACTTACAGTGACACCAAGAAATGGGTAGGATCCACATTGTCCAAAGCTTTGGGAAGCTTGAAAAGGATTTCATTTGCTATCCTGAGAGCCAAAGGAAGTCTCTGAAGGATTTGAATAAAAGAGTGAGAGAGAGTAAATTAAAAAAGCACTCTGGTTCCTGTGAGGGATATGGATCCAAAGAGGTGGAGAAAGAAGGAAGTTGAGTGTAAGTGGGGAGATCAGTTAGGAGTTAGGAGGCTGAAGGGTGATGGCCTGGGGAGAATGAAGGTAGAAGGGCTGGAGAGAAGCTTTCAGATTCCTCATTTCCCATCTCTCCGTGGGGGTCACGGATGCTTTATAAAGCTTTCATTCCTAAGTTTAGACACAGGCAGTGCCCACTAGGGGAACCAGGCCCTCAGCCTTGCTGGGCAACGCAGAGTTCTTGAAGTTTACTGCTGTTTACTAAAAGTAGCCCACCGTGGACCAGAATATCCCTTGTGGTTAATTAATTCGGTTTGCTGAGTCATTTGCTTGCTCCTTTCTATTTTTACAGAAGGAAATGATCTTATTACTAAGCATTTCCCAGTTTAATTTGATTTGCGTAACCATTTGCACTTCAGATGTGTTACAGATATGGCCCATTTTGGCTGGCAGACAATGTGGGATTACAGTGGATTCTTCTCCCCCTCCCAGCATCCTTTGCTTTGACTGCAGTTTTTATGGCACATGATACTTCCCCATTAAGTTTTATTAGATCCATAATTTTTTTTATTAACATTGAGTAATAGCTGTTTTCAATGGCATGACTCTTCCGAGGAGTCCTCGATTTGTAGTCCATGATAACAGTAGCTAAATTGAAGTTTCTTCTGCCAGCATTTCACCCGCAGTAAATCCAACCATTCAACCTCATCTTGCTTAAAAAGCCATGAAATTCCCGGACATTATCAGAAAAATGACCACAGTCAAAGTGCTCTAAATTGAGATGGAAATTGAGCCCTGGCCTGTTTGAATCAAGATGTTTCATAGTTATGGGCTGGGAGTGGAAACTTTCAACCCCAAGTTAAAACTCCGCTCTGTAGAATTTCTCATATTAGGGGGCTTGTCCATTGGTCCACAGTTCCAGATTGGGACTGTGTCTGATGGAAACAAAAGGAATATTTTAATGTTAGCAACAGTGGTTGATTTTCTTCCCTCAGGTTAATGATGAAATGATGTGAATCTACTTAGCAGAATGGGAAAGGGTGTGGGACTAGCTGCTCTGAGCGCTGTCAAGTGTGAATATCTGTAACCTCGAATTTCCAGTAATTCTTTTTTTAAAAGGAGATATCTTTAGTATATCTAGTTCAGTTCAGTTCTGTCCATCCATCGCACCATCATCCATCCCACCCTCTCACTCTGTCATTAAAACATTTATTGAGTACCTGTTATATGCCAGACTGCTCCTAGCTGAGGAAATGCATATGAATAAGATAGTTCTCATAATCAAGGAACTCATGATCTGGTAGAGGAAAATGGTAGGTGAATTAATAATTTCAGGTGATAAATGCTTTACTAGAAAATCATTCATTTGTTCATTCAATAGATGCTTACTAAAATGCTCGCTATGTATAAATTAATGTGCTCCTCTGGACACAGGACACAAAAATGAAAAGTCAAGTTCTCTACCAGAAAAGTTAAAATGCAGAGTGATAAAAGGGTCTAGTGGAGGTATGGATAAGTGTGATGGGCATAGAGGGTCTCACCTGCCTAGATGAGTCAGAAACGCTCCTTAGAGGAGGTAGCTCTTGAACTGAAACTTGAAGAGTAGAGCTTTTCCAGCATAATCTCAGTACCCTCCTCCTATTCATTCAGTGTTGAGAAAATTAACCTCTCTTCCTTTTATGCTTATGTAATTCAAAATGTCATGGTTGGCTGGCATTTGGCAACAATCTATCCTGAAGACTTTTGAGTATTTTTCTCTGCTACTCAGTTGGATAAAGAAAGGTGTTTACCTGATAATATATCCTGTGTGAGTGGGTAATGGGTGATGTTTATGATTTTCCTTGGTTTTAAGTGGAGTTGTGATGGCAATATTTTAAACTTATCTTGGGGCTAGAGGGCCTGACAAATGCATTTCCACCATGCCAAGGAACTGGAAACCAAAAGCGACTGTGTCTCGAATGAAATGAAGAGTCTGACAGAATACATCCTATCAGTGGAATGAAATTAGATATCTGTCAAAACGCATTTGTCCTCTAAATAACCATCCATATGTTTTATGTTTTGGTATAAATAGACATTCATCAGTTTATCACAACTGTGCTGTCAGAGACCCAGCAACTAGAACCAGAATTTTAAAGACCTTTCTAGAGGGAGGAAAACTTTTTTTGGGGGAAGGGTTGTTTTCCTTATTGCTTCTCTCTTCTTCTCTCTTTTTGTGATTTTTGTTGGCTCCCTTCAGAGCTCACAGGTCATTACTGAAGAGAAGCGAAGCCTCTATTTAAAATCAATCTAATAACACTATGTTCCAAAGCATTAACTCCTTTCTGCAATCAGCTCCTTGCAGAGATTATTTGCTTCTGCAGCTTGCCTTCTTCAGGTGTAGCCTGTCGGGGGACTGCTGGGCTTGTGACCACTGGGTACCTGAGGTGTGGGCTCCCTCCCTGCAGCCTCCTTGCTGTGGATGTGTGGCCCTGTGTCAGGTCCAAAACAGGGATTGGCGGTGAGGCTCACTATGGGCCTTCCCACCTTAGTCTGGGTCCTTCTCCATGCCCATTTGTGTGGATAGTGGACTCCAGGAAGCAAGTTCTGCGGAGCTCTGAGGAGCTCTGAGGAGAAGAACCACAGGACTGGCAAGTGAGTGAGCCTTAGGAGGTGGGCATCTCAGTCTGTTTCTGGGCTGGGCACTGCTAGAACCATTACTGTCTTGTCAAATATTCTGTCCAGTGAAGAAAATTAATACGGTAATTTTGCAGACAAAAGCACATTTTGACCAAAGTTTAAACTACTCATTTAAATAAATCCCTGGAATTAATGCTGTGATTAACATTATTATTTACATTATTAGGATAGAAAAACACATGGCGGAAGAATCAAGCCAACCAAAGTTGCCCTGCAGGAAGGAAGAGCAGAGTAGAATCTCAGGTCCTGGTGCCAGCCTGTGGACTTCTAGTGAGTCCTGGACCTGGGATGCGACTGTGAGGGGAATCAGACACGGGGGACTGTCATGTCCAGCATGCAGCAAATTTTGATTGTCTTAGTGCTCATTATATACTACTTTAAGTGCAGCAGGTGTAACATCAAAGCATACCATCTAATGATAACACATATGAATGATTAGTCTGCTTTCTTACTATTATCTATCTACTTCAGACAGTAGGGTACCAGGTGGTTTGTTCTCATGCACATAATCTTATCACCCCCTAGCTAGAGCTTGGGAAGTTCGCTTACTATTTTTGTTATTCTAAGACTGTGGAGACCTGACTCCTCTCAGGTCACATTCCAGGCACTCAACACCAGGTCCTGTCACTCAGAGGTTTTCCTCCGAGATGCATGTGTTTTCACATGCCTTAGGGACTCAGGTCAAGGCCCTTCTGCTCACTGCGCAGGGTCTCTCCCAACACCAGCCACAGTGCCAACCTCTTGTCTTGGTCCCTTCTCATCACAGGAGGTCAACTCCAGAACTATTACTTGGTCATCTAGAACTTTCTCTAGTGTTCCAAAGGAGTCATATGGTGCAAGGACCCAAAGGGTCATGGAAAGAGATGGTAAGGAAATCAGATTTAGAATCTCTAGCTCAGGTTCCAGATCTTGGGCAAAGCAGAAACATAAATGGGCCAGGGAAGAGTTAGATGGAAGGAAATATAACTTTACTTGCTTACACAGGACTCACTGGATGCTGACTTTAAACTCTTCATTCCATCTTTGTGCTCCATGTTTACCTACCCCCATCCCACCATCCCAGGTGACATTAGTCAGAACAAAGTTTCCATCTGGACAGATCTTGGTGTTTCAAACTCTATCAACTTGCTGAGAAAAATCTGTTCCTCATCTTAGAAGCCCATATATACAACATTCTTTTATCATATTTGTTCCATGTCACCATTAGGATGGACCCATTCCAGCATCTTTAATTTTTAGGTATGTTGCTTTTCTAAAAGACAAAATTTTCTGAAGGAAAGAAATCGGTCCCTAGCAAAGTGCCTGCTCAAGGTGTTTTGAGGCCATTTTAAACCTTCGTAATGATACTTGGTTAGCTCTCATGTAACGTGTGTTGACATCCTCAGGCAAATAGAGGCGGCTGGCACCACTGTGTGGTGAGTAGTTTGTTCTTGGCCTTTTCAGTGGCTAGATCGGAGAGGTAGCTTGCATCTTCCAAAGTATTCTGATGGACATTGAGAATTGGCTTCAAATTGTAACAGGCCAATCTTGGACCTGGAATTTTTTAGGAAGAATGTTTATAATTTTCTCATAGATTGCTGTGAAATGTTTTAGCAAAATCATAATAGATATCTGTGGTTGAAAGAATCAACACAAAATGAAACTGACAGCAACTAAAACTACACATGAGTTACTGGTAGGGAGCCACATGATGTAATTTAGATGGGCAGAACTGGATCAAGGAAAACTGAATTTGTTCAAAATGGTAACAGAGGAAGCTTCCGAGAATTGACAACTGATTTTATACGGACAAAGCTTGGTCAACGAATCCAATATTTAAAGTTATATGGAAAACAATTCTGATAATTTTGTTAAACAAATAGATCTGGAAGAATGAAAAATGGTAGAAGAATATTTATATATAACAATGATGGAGAATTTAAATGGACTCAGTGGAATTGATCATTCTCCCCTGCTTCCCTGTGGCCCCTGCCTGGTGGGGGAGGCAGCAGACTGGTACAAAGAATAAGTGTAGATGAACAGCAGGCTCTAGTGGCTTCACAGCATATGAATGACCTTTGGGGTATTGGTAGCAAGAAGAGCTATTACCACAATGAGCCAGAACAGGCAGGAGGAAAATGGAAGGCACCAGAAGTCAGTCCTGGGAGCCCCCACTGGCCCATCTAACCAATCCTTCCCTATTTCTTACACACAGACACAGACACACACGCACACATCCAAACCCACATACTCACATGCTCTCATGTACATGCATGTATGTGCACAAGTACACACACACACACATACTCACCTGGCTGGCAGTAAATTCAGTCTCAGGTCCCGTGGAAATGACAGAGAAGGTTTCTGTGTGATCAGGCTAGGTGGTTGTGAGAGACACACCTGCAGGTGGGTTATACGCATATCCGTGGACTGAACCAGTTATGTCGGAGCAGTTGGGTTAATAGGATGGTGAAGGCTGCACAGAGAAGGTGACATGAGAGGTTGGCCTTGAAGAGTAAGGTGATTTTAGGTCTGGAAAGTAGGAATAGCAGCATTCCAGCTGCTCAGGGTCACTCAAGAGTTGGTGAAAGGGCCTGCAAACCCACCCAACTTCTCAAAGAAAGCCCAGTGGTGGTAGTCTGGAGTGTATTGAGTCCACCAGCCCTGGGGTGGTGGTGCCTGTTGGGGGGGACAGTCTATGTGGATGCCTAGGCAGCAGACCCTGCAGACCTAGCCCTACATACGGGTCCTGAAGATCTGCTTTCAGGCCCGGCCCTCGAGCCCTAGAAGTGCAAGGGGAAGCAGCTGCATCAGTGAGCCCTTTTATCCAGCCACCCTGGAGAAACCCCAAGAGTGAGTGAGCAATGCAGGGGGGGAATAGTTTTTCAGTATAAAGGGAAAAGAACCTCAGCAAATCAAGAGGGGCTCTGACAAGTTACCCAAGGAAGGAGCAATTACAGAGCAATCAACTTGCACACAGATTTAAACACAGCCTGTTGTGAGCGCCTGCTGCTCAGGGAGGACAAAGAGAGCCTGCGTGACTGGGGATCCAGGCAGGCACCCCCGCACCTTGCAGGAGGCTGAGGCCTGCATGCACTTAGGGTCTCCAGTGGTGGAGAGACCTGCTGGTAGGAAGGCATCAGGGTCCCACAGAGTTAGAGTCCACTGCAAGGGGTGGAGGTGGGGGTGGGCAGGCTGCCACATCTGCCCTACATGGTGGCCACACAGGTGGCTCTCAGCAGGTGAGGATGGGGGCCACCCTAAGAAGCCTAGTCACAGCTGCAGCTCTGGCCACCTGTCCCAGGAGGAGCCCACAATGGGGGGGGGGGGCAGGTCAGTGCCAAGTCACCTCCCTGGGACTGAGAAATTTTTGATGATCTTCAAAGCTATAGTGTTGTTATTTCCCCCTTCTTTTTGAATAGTGCCCCCCCCCCTTTTTTGTGATTCTTACCCTTAGATGAGAAAATGGAATTTTCAGTAGCCCGGGGGGTGGGGGTGGGGGTACCCTGGAATCTGAAGTCCAGCAGACCTGGCTGCCAGGGCTAGCTGTCTGGCCCTATGACCTTAAGTGAGACTTTTCAGAACCTCAGTTTCCTCAACTTACAAAACTGCAACCCAGTTTAAAAAAGGTATACTTTTTAATATTGAAATAGATTCAGATTTATGGAAAATATGCTGAAGTAGCATGAAGTCTTCATATACTCTGCATCCACTTTCTCCTATTAACATCTTACATCATATGGTACACTGATCACAGATAACAAATGAACCAATATTGATAATTATATTTTAGCATTTTCCAAGTTTTAATCAACTGAAAACTTTGTGAGAGCTTGTTTACCAAATTCAGGGAAAAATCCCCCACAAATCTGATAAGAGTTCCCTTTTCCTGTATTGTGTACATATAAACTATACTAATATAAAAACATTTCCATAATCTTGTACCTCTCAGGTTAACACAGTACCCCCATGACGTAAACCCAGAGGTACTAGTTTGCCAATGTCCTGACTATTCATGTTCTTACTCCAAGGTCATCCTTAATGAGGTCAAAGACTTTCAGTGAATATAAATACAATAACTGAACGTGACTGAACTCCATTGTGGTCTTTATCAGATGGGCTGTCTGATTATACAAGTTTTCCATTTTTCTATGAGGTAATTGTTTTCTAGAAATGTGTATTTTGTCAATGTCACATTTTTATAGGGAAAAGTAATCTACTTTATTCTCTGTTTAATCCCAGCTCTTTGATAAACTATTAACCATAATTCATACTTTAGAATTTTCAGTTTTTTTTCCTACAGTCTTTATTCTCCTATGTCCCCATATTTCTTAAAGTTCCATGTCTCCTCTTGACTGTGCCAGTTTCTCAGATTTTCTTTGTGTGTGATATCTGACAGTGTTTAGGAGGACTGGTCAGGAGTTTTATAGAATGTTCTCCATTGAGGTTTGTCTGGTGTTTTACTCCTAATGAGACAGGGGTGATGGGTTTTTGGGAAGAAGACACAGAGGGAAGTGTGAGTATCAAGGATGCCTACTATCAACATGGCTTGTCACTGTTGAGGCTGACCTTGGTCACCTGGCTGAGGTGATGTTTGTCACTTCTGCAGAAGTTCCTTCACATCCCTTGCTCCTTTTCCATACTTAACTCTGGAAGGAAGTTGCTGTGGCACCCTCTGCAGGGGAGAGCATCTATAGCAATTACCTGGAACTCCTCTGCACTTAGGGATTTGTTTCTTTCACCCCCCCATTACTTGTATCAGTGTGAACTCTGAGGTATGTATTTTATGTTGTAGGTTCTAATCCTGTGCTACATTACTTTCTTGCTCAAGTTGTTCCAGCTTTGGTGATTGGGTTCTTCCTTTATTTTAAATTGAAATATTTGTTTTCTTGTTGAATTTGAAGAGTTCTTTATATATTTTTGATAGAAATCATTTATCAGACCTTATTTTAAAAGGATTTTATCCCAAGTCCATGGATTTTCTTCTTCCCTTAACAGTGTCCTTTATATAGCTATTTTTTTATTTTAATGAAGTCCAACTTAGCAGTTTTTCCCCATATATCATGAATTTAATGTTGTATTTAAATACTCACCAAACCCATGTTTTTTCCTAGAACTTTTATAATTTTGCATTTTATATTTTGGTCTATGAGCCTTTAAGTTTATTTTTTGGGTAAAGTGTAAGGTCTGTATCTGGATTCATACTTTGCATATGTTGGAAAGACTTTGGATTCCTTTGGGACAGCCTCCATTCCTTAAAAAAATGAAGAAGCCATCATCAATAAGTATTGTCGATTCATGTGGAGAACAGATCTCACTGTTTTTGTAGAAAGCCCAGCTCCAGTCTTTGCTCCCCGAGGAAGGGACAGGCTGAGGCCAATTGGAGGCCCCTGGTCTACAACACAACAGGTTCCGGTGTCTGACATAAGATGCAGAACAAGCCCGGGGAGCACTTCCACGAAGAGGAAAGGGAAATCACCTTTGCGTCTGACATAGAATCAAATTCTAGCTTCTCTTTGACTATCTCTGTGCGAGTGCCTCACCGCTCTGAGCTCTGATGAAATCATAGCTAACCCTTCATTGGCACTTCTTATGTGTCAGACATTATTTGGAACCTTTTACATGTATCTCGCTTAATTCCTATAGTAGCCTCTTTGGGTGGGAAAATATTACCTCCCTCAACACGCTTTACAGTCAAGGAAATTAAGTCTCAGTCAGTGGGGAGGGCTGTGAAACACCATATTTCTCAGGCTCATTGGGGTAATTAAATGATGCAGGGCATGGAGAGAGCTTAGCCCCATGCCTGACACCCAGTAGAAAGCAATAGATAGTGGTTATAAGAAACTTCTTTTCTTAAAAACTTTTTTTAAAATTGAGAACATTAAATGGGCAAGACAAAAATGTACAGATCAGTCATTTATCACAAAGTGAATACCTGTAAAATACCACACAGGCTGAAAGCAAAAGGAGCATGCCCAGCCCCCAAATATCCCCCACAATCACTACCTCTCTTTGCACCCAGAGGTGCTCATAGCTTGACTTTTTTACAAATCACCTTTTTACATAATTTTTTTACTGCAGTGTATATTCCTAAATACTAGTTCCAAAAGCTTTTGGAACTTTATATAGTAAATTATGCATTCTTTTGTCTGACTGCTTTTACTCAACGTGATTTGACATTCATTGCATGAAGCTATAGTGAGTTTATTTTCAGTAAAGCTTTTTCCCCCCATAAAGCTGTATATTGCTTTATTGTGTGAATATATGACAGCCTTTATCCATCCTTCTATTGATAGGCATTTATGTAGTATCTAGTTTCTGGCTATTATAATAGTGCTGCTATGAACTTTCTTACGCATGGTTCTCTGTGCTTATCCCTGAAATTACTGAAACCTAGAGTATATTTTGTTCAACTTTCGTAGATACTAAGGTTTTGAATGCTATTGTAGTACTAAGGTATGAGAGTTGCTTTTGCTTCACATCTTCAGTACTTTATACTGTCTGCTTAGAAGCCATTTTGGTGAGTGTGCTATTGAAATTGGTATCCTTAGACCCAATTTCCATATCAGTGTATGTGAAGTCTTCCCCACACTAATAAGCAGTTCTCAAATTCTTGCTGGGTGCCCAAGAGTTCAACTTAACCCTGACACTGTTTACCTGGAGGTGGCATCAGATTTCACTGGTAAAGGGCTCAAGTCTCTCAAGACCACGCTCCACTTCAGATATCAGTAGCATGCTCAGTGTGCTTCTTACCAACTGGTTATAAGTCAGGGGTTCCCCTAAGCCCCTTCTCAGGTTTGATTAATTTGTAAGTGTGGCTCACAGAACTTGGGAAATCTGTTTAGTCACTAGATCACCGATGTACTACAAAGGACATGAATCAATAGCCAAATGCAGAGAAACATAGGGTGAGGTACTGAACAAGGGAGTTTCTGTCCTCATGAAGCTTGGAGCCCAGAAGAGTGGCACATGGAAGTGCCCTAATTCCCCAGCCTGGAAGCTATCTGAATCCCCATCCCCCACCCCTTTGAGTTTTTATGCAGGCTTCCTGTAGGTGTGATGGATTAAATCACTGACCATTGGCTCTTGACCTCAATCTCTAACTCCTCTCTCTAGAGATCAGGGGTGGGGATGAAAGTTCTGACCCTCTAATTATATTAGCTGGTTCTCCTGCAGCTAGCTCCTGTCCACAGATACCTCTCAAAGTCACCTTATTCACTCTCAACACTTTGGAAGATCCAGTGGTCTGAGGAGCTGTGAGTCAGGAACTGTGGACAAAGACTATATTTGAGATGTGTGTATTTGGTCATCTGAAGTGTGTATTTCCTCTAAACAACAATATTGTAGCTGTAGAATCTCGCTGATCTTAAGTTATATTTTCTTGATTATTAATAAAATTGAGCATGTTTTCATAAATTTATGGCCATTTGGATATCCTCTTTTATGAAGTGCCTGTTCAAATTTCTTGTCCTTTCTGTTTATCTTTTTATTTCAATTGATTTGTAGATATTCTTCAGATAGTGAGAGCAGGAGGCCCTTTGGAAGGATCTCTAATCTTGATTTTTTTTTTTTAGGGGGGGGGGGTGCCTGTGTTTTGTTGTTAGGAGTTTAATAATGGTGTGCCTAGTTGTGAGTATCTTATCATTTATCCATAATGTGGTTTCCTATTTTCCATCCTATTCTGGGGAGGAGCTTCAATTAAATTTATATCAGGGCCTCCCTGGTGGCGCAGGTGGTTGAGTGCTGCGCTGTGGAGCTGTCCGCAGCCTCTGCAGCACGGGTTAGATCCCGGCTGGCCGGCTGGCAAGAATCCCACATGGCGCGGCAGACCTCATCTGTCTTGCCTGCCGCTCCCCTCAGCAGTGTATTTCAGTCAGTCTGCCTGTTCTGTTCCCCTCTCTGTCTCTGGTGAATCCTCTCACCCTCCCGCACATCTGGCCTGTACTGTGGTTCTTGTATAAATAAATAAATATTAAAAAAAATTTTATATCAGCTCTTATCTTTCTATTTCTTCCTCTAATTTGTGCTTTCCAGTCCTCTGGCTTTCTTGTTCTTTTCTGGAAATACAGCTCCATGAATGAGCTCTTCATCTTTGCTAAACACTGTTTAACTCACCAGTTAGGTTGTTAAGTTTCAATTATTATGGCATTTAGTTTTGAACATTCCATCTTGAAATTTCTAATGCTTCACCAAATTTTTCAATCTTTGTTAACATTCCTTTGCATAGAGAGCACATTTGTCTTGAGGTCTAAGTGTGATAGAACTTACATCTGAAGCCCACTGGTCTGATTATATTGCTTGATCTTCTTACTGGTATTGTCTTTATTGTCTTATTTTCTCAGGTGTCTGGTTATTTTCAATTCTGTGCGGGATATTGTATTTGCAAAATTGCTCGTAGAAATAATTTGAGGCTTAAGATGTTTCTCTTTCCAGAGAAAGTTTATATTCATATCTACAAGGTGTGTGTGTGTGTGTGTGTGTGTGTGGAGTATACTAACAATTGGAGATGACTTCAAATCAGTTTTAGGGTTTAAAATTATTTGAAGTTGAGCCATAATCCCTAAGATGGCTGTACACTTCTGAGTCCCAACTCAAGAGGACTCAGACGTTTCCTGTGGTGGTCTCTGTACTACTATATTTTCTGTGTCCCCTCTCCTCCACTATTTCTGGAGGCATTTATCAGCTTTCAAAGGCCTTCTCTGGAATTAGCAAATATCTCCAGAGAAAAGCAGCTCTAAATGCTGGATATACCTTCTAGGGGCTCCATTATCTCCCAATCCCACAGCACTAATGTTTTCTTTATTAGCTCTCCTGATGCCTTCAAGTAGATACCTTTATATATCACTGAGAGTTTTAGCACTATGATTGGGTCTAAAGATAGTCTGCCATTATCAGAATCTTAAGGCTCCTATCTCCTCTACCCAACTTGAAATGCCTATCTCCCTAAATTTCCCCCTTATTTACATTGATAAACATACAGGCTGCTTTAGTGCTATGATTGCACAGGTAAAGTTTTTAAACAAATTATTTGCATTTTGGGGGTTTTAACTTTCTCACTTACTGTGTCCATTCAGTGTTTAAACCCTGACTCAGGTGCCCTCACTCTACTCCACTCAATCTGGGAAGTTGACTTTCATATCATCTCACCTCTCACTTTCCCTTCAAGGTAATAAGACCCACCTCTCTCCCCAATGTAGTATCCCGTAACCACTGTAGCTCAGTATGACCTGTCCTTCTCTTGGATTCCTCTGCCACTTTGTGGATGATACATATTAAACTGTTAACTGAATATATGTCAGTTCATCCACTAACATTTCTCTGTGTGTAGATTGTAAAATCCTTGAATAAGGCACACATTATCTTCTTTACAATCTGCTCAGCTTCTAGTCCCTTACCTTGCACATGTAGATACTCAGGCATGTACTTGGTTGAGCATCTCAGGTCTGGCCCCCCCAAATCGTGGCATTCACATCACATCACATCCTGTCACACTGTAGCACAGAACACTGCATTCCTGTATTGAAAAGGTTCCATTGCCTGCTCTGCCCACAGACCCCTGCTCCAGGAGCCCCCTCTGATGCCATATACCCAGTCATGAGCCTCATTCCCCTACTCTAGCTGACTGATTGGGGTGTATCCTTGATCTATTCACCAATCAATTTGTTTGTCAAGATATTAAATGAATAGGGTGTTTGAAATAAGGAGCTTGAAGTGCTTTAAAAAGTATGCTGCAAAAAGTCATATAGATTCCACATAAGAGTTCATGAAGAGGGCCTCCCTGGTGGCGCAGCGGTTGAACCCTGGGTTGCGAAGCTGCCCACAGCCTCTGCATCGCCAGTTGGATCCCCGGTCACCGGGCGAGGGTCCCACATGGCGCGCAGACCTCTCCTGCCGCCCGCTGCTCCCTCAGCAGTGTACTTCGTCAGTCTGCCTATTCTGTTCCCCGCTCTGGCTCTGGTGAATCCTCTCACCCTCCCGAGCTTCTGACTGTACCCAGTGCTTGTATAAATAAATAAATAAAATCTTAAAAAAAAAAAGAGTTCATGAAGAGGAAGTAAAACTTACGGAGAGGAAGAAATAGTAAGCAAAGGAAGCTGTCCAGTAAAGCAGAGGTGAGGAAAGAGCATTTATGCAGAGGCAGGAGGAGATGAAATCTGCGTGGCCTCTGAGGGTCAGCCTTGTTCCCAGCAATCCCCTGATACCCTCACCCACGGCATCAATCCTTGTGCCTGAGCTTGGACCTTACAGGGATAGCTGATTTAAGCTGTGTGGGCTTCTATTTGTGGTAGCCAAAGAGCATTGACTAGAATAATATAAATCTAATTGTATCAGTCATGGTGCTTTGAGTTGCATAGAACCAGAACCCACTCTAGCTATTGTAAGCAAAAAGGGGGCATATTGGAAAGATAGAGGGAGCCCAGAATTGACAGGTAGCTAGAGGATCAGGCATGGAAGATAGACAAGACACTGGGCACCTCCACTGGACTCAGGTGCTGGATGCTGCTCCCACCTTTGTGACCTCATTCTCTTCCTTTTTCGCGTCATTTCTCTGTGATGGACGCTACTGAATAGTAACGTGTGATTATCATGACGGCACGGGTGGGCACCCTATTTTCTCAGCTCGCAGAGAACAGGGGAGGGACAGATTGTGTCCCCTAAACTTTTATAGTGGGAAGCAGGGCTGTTCCAGATAAGAGGACACAATAGGGTCAGTTATCCAGAGGAGGAAAGGGTTGGATGGTTGGCCAGCCAACAGCAGTGCAGACGGTAGTCTCTCTCAACACCTTTCTCGTTCAGATGAGTCTACTGGAAATTTCAGCCTTTATATAAAGTTGATGGGATGCAAAGTGGTGTGTGTATGGGGGAAGAAATAAAGCAACAAATGGACAATAATGCCTTGAGGCAGGATATACAGTTGGCATGAGACTCTTTCTGCTCTCTTCCCTTCCTTCTTCCTGTCTGGAATATGGACGTGACAACTGGAATTCTAGAAACACCTTGGGACCTTGAAAATGGAAGCCATGAGACAAAGATGGTTCTGGGTCTGTGATGCTGAGGGAGGCACATGAGCAAACCCTGTGTGTTCAACAGACCACCATGGCCTGTTCTGTTTCCAGCAGCTGAGCACAATTCCTAATCAATACCATCATCATTATTATCATTGTGGTTATTGTGTTGGCCACCAGACTGTGTGTTAGCTGCATGACTATTGTTCCCTGATTTCAGAATTCCTGTCACTCACTGTGCTCCCTAAAAAGGGCTGGGAGGTAGATAATAATTTCTTAACAACCAAAAAAAAAAAAGCACTAACATGAATTGGCTATAGATTTTTAAAAAGACCTTCACAATGCACTTTGAGAAACGTGGAGAGTCCCTGGCCTTTGACTGTCTGCCTGATCAGGGCACTTAGTGATAGTGAAGAGCAATGCTGGTCTTGAGCTTCTGATGTCCATTCATGAATAACAGCGATGTGGGGTGCAGGTTCTCCATGCTGGACCATGAAAATCCAAAATAGACTCATGAAAGTAGTTTTGTTTCAAATTTTGTCTTAATGTTTGAAAAATATTTTAAAAGCAATCAACAGGTGCACCTCGGGATAGCTTGGGGTGCCTCTTCTGGGCATATCTCTGCCATCCTGACCTGCTCCCCCTGAGCCCCTTACCTGTGGCTTGGGGAGCAGACAGCACCTCTCTCCCTAGCATGTTGTAAACCACAGAATGGCTCTTTTCTTCTTGCTGAGCTTGCTCTTTATTTTTGTGTCAGAAACGGTAGCCCAGAGCCACCCCTTTTTAAGGGTTCAGCTTTTGCTTTTGGAAAAAAAAAAAACCAACCAAAACTCATTCCTTCACTGTTGATGATGATTGTCCCTCTGTGTACTCAGTTTCCCTGCCCCAGGCCTGGCTGGGGTGGAGGTGACAAAAGGAAAAAAAAAAAAAAAAAGGTAGAATAGGCCAGCAAGCACTGAAGTAGTAACTTAAAATCTATTCAGAGGTAATTAGTGTTTTGTTTTCTTCCAACTCTGGCTGGATAACAGGCTGCATTTTGGAATAAAATGAAACATGTTGATAATATTGCATGGATGTTAAACAAAGGAATTAATTAAGGCGAGGAGGCGATAATAGCAGGGAGAACTTTAAAGGGCGGCTTAGCCCGGGTTGCCCACAAGCGAAGTGTTGGCAATAGTGTACTCCAATTGGCAGCAATTATGGTATTAACAAGAAAATGCAGACACCAGAGGCTCTGTAAGACCACAGTCTAATCCGTGGGGAATGATGCTATCTTTCCCAGGTAAAGTTTTCTTATTTTTTCTCTTCAAAATAAGATTTCAGGTTCCAGAGGGCAAAGCATCCATCCACATAGCTCCCCCATTAGAGCCCCTTGCAGAGAACCAGTGCCTAACAAGTTCTCCCTAATGAGGTTTGCAAGCCATCTCTCAGGGGAGCGGAGGGACACTGAATAAATTGACTATATAAGGCACTCCCTGCCTTGTGGAGTCTGAGAGGCCTGGTCCAGGGCCCTGCTGGGCAACAAGGTAGGCTATTAGAGTCAGGCGGGCTTTCTGCTGCCTCTTCCCATCCTTCCATTTACTGGTATCTGGGGGGAATTCCCAGTAAAAATCTACCCACCCCCCACCACCACCGGCCTTCAGGCATGTCCTGACATTTTTGAAGATGAATAGACAAATAGATATGCAGGTATCTGAAGGGCTGTTTTCCTGAACTGGGATAGAATAAGGTGAAGGAATAAGGAGTTAGACAGCAGTTTGTCTGGGGAGAAGATCCTTAGCATTTGCTGAGAACACAAAGGTAAGAGTGATAAAAAATAGAGGCACATTTGGGGTGCCCCAGCTGATGATCTATATCACAGGTTACAGAGGAAGGAAGGAGACCCAGAACTCACTACAGGTTGTCCTCCTACAGCCAGGGCTACTGCCCAGAAATGGCAGCCCCGAGTCACCCCTTTTTAGGGGTTCAGCTTCTGCTTTAAAACAAAAACAAAAACAAAACACAACAAACTCATACTTTCACTGTTTAGGATGTCCTTCTGTGTAGTCGGTTTCCCTGCCCGAGGCCTGGCATTCACTCAGCTCCATAATCCATGGATCTGCCTCCTACTTCTCTCTGGTCTTTCCCTTTCTGCCTGCTCTATGTCCTCACTCAGAGGACCTCCTGGGTCAGTGTAGTCCTCACATAAGATTCCATCCTGAATGAAAAGTAGCTTCCTACCAAAGCAAGTTGCATGTGACTCAGAAATCTGTTTGGGCTTGCAGATGGAGTTCTGATGCCCGAATCTTACTGTTGCAGAAATAAATTCTAGCCTTTTACCCAGGCAAGGGAAGAACAAGTGGTACTTCAAAAATGGTGAGGTCAGGAGAAGCTTTATTACTCATGCATGAGGTCCCAGACCTGGGGAGCCCCTTAAATTCTGAGCACTGGTCTAGAGACAAAGAGTTTCTTTTATGCATAACCATTTTACGTTGATAACATTGGTTAGTTAGCATACAAATTCTTAACACAGGAAAAAAATCTTTGAGGATGGCCTGGGAGATCAATCAGCCTAGCAGGCTTCCAGACCTTGTTTAGATATGCTTATTAAGGAAGCAAACTTGTTACTTACATTTCCATGTCTATGACTCTTTACCAGGGAAAGATTTCCTTTTCTTAGCAGTTCCTTTTTATTACCATTCATTCCTTTTCCTGGTAGGGGCACATAGCTAGAGGAGTATACTGGAAAGAAAAAGAGGCAAGTGGAAAATAAAAGCACTACTTTTATGAAACATTATTTTATGTCCCACACGTAGGAAAAAACTGCTTTGGAAAATGTGACTTAAGCTGGGAGAGTTCAGTGAGGCTTCCACCTTCCTCCCCCTGACCTTTTCTACCTTGTCTCAGGTGGGGGAGCTAGAGTTGAGGGGGTGGTAGAGGGAGACCTGACTCAAGGAGACAGGTCCTGCCGAATGGGGTTTGTCCTGAGTGGCCAGGCCCACTTAGGAACCAACTAGTTGGAAGGAGAGAAGACAAACACTAACTGTGGCCATGAGAGAGTGGTTACCTGCCCACAGTGGGCGTGACCCTCTCAAAGCATCACACCTCAGGTGGGAGAGAAGGCAGCAAGTCTGAAGCAAGATGTCCTGTCAGTACATAATACAACCTGATCCTGAAGATAAGTACAAACCATGGAATCTCTGTGCAAGGGACACTTGGGGCTCCTTTCCATACTTGTTGACCCTTGGCTGGGCAGTGCCCAGGCACCTTAGGCTTTTTCCATTATAATTCTTTTTAAAAAATTTTATTTATTTATTTATACAAGCACTGGGGATAGTCAGAAGCGTGGGAGGGTGATAGAATTCACCAGAACCAGAGCTGGGAACAGAACAGGCAGACTGACGAAACACACTGCTGAGGGGAGCAGCGGGTGCGGCAGGAGAGGTCTGCGCGCCATGTGGGACCCTCGCTGGCGGCCAGGGATCGAACTGGCGCTGCAGAGGCTACGGGCAGCTTC